TCGTGTGAGTCACTGTATGTATTTAAATAATTTCACTACCAATAGGAAAAAGATGTTGATTTGAGCCAATTTCAAAACCAGAATTCAAATGCCGAATTTACTGAGAGTGTKGAATACGCATTTTCGCAGAACTCTGATGATGAAGATGAACGGGAATCAGTATCTGAGGTAAAATCTTCATCAGATCGCTTCAGCTATGTCCTAAGTGTAGTGGTTTTATTATTTTGGATAACCCTTTATGTTATTGCTATTAAATTACAATTTGGAACGGTCTATTTAATGATCTCAGCGTTGATGGGAATTTATTTAAACACGAGATCTACCCCGAAGATAACGAATGAAATTAGCGCTTATAGTGTATTTAACAAAAATTGTAAAAGTATAGATGGAACGTTAAAAGCTGAGCAGTTTGAGCAAGAAATTAGGTRTGGCTCTCTTAGAAAAAATTAACTGTACAGTGCTGTAAACGTAGCTCAGCTATAAATTTATAATTCGGACTACTATTCTAAATCTTTGTCCTACTATTTGACATAATAAAAACAAAACTGAAAAAAAAAGTTCTCTTAACTTATTTCTTACAAAAGGATAAATAAATATTTAGATAGGGGAAAATAATACCAAATTGGAGCACAATTCCGATTTTTTTGGCGCCGCGATCTGAAGGTACCGTTGAAAAGAGGAAGTCCTCCAGATTAAAAAATAAGCAGGGTTATAGCAACCACAAGCGCTTAGTTTAAGAGATATTCGACTTCGAACTTCAAAAATCCCCAAAATTCGAACATTTCAACAAGCTATTTCACCACATTAAACACACTTTTCGCACATTTTTTAATTCAAATTAATTAAAATAAACTATACACATTTAAATACATCCACAATTTTCACGTTTTGCTGGTTTTTTTGATAAGAAATCTGTATTTTATTAAAATTACTTTTTACACTCGTAGTGAGTATCATTTATATGCTAACAACTATTAAGAAATGGAGCGCTGCCATATGATAATAAGCAAATATGAGCAATTCGCTGAATTTCTCTATTTCGATATAATTCCTCTTTCTTTTATTAGCAATCTAGCAACTAATAAAAACATGTTTCCCTATATATTATTTTACAAATTAAAATAAGTATAAACAATCTTTCTGTGCATATGGATTTTCCCTATTTAAATTAAATTATAATAATTATAATAAAATTCTTAGGTTATCACGGATATTGGCTCCATCAGGATTATTTTTTTAAAGGAGTACTACGCGAAAGTACTTCAGTCCCCACGGGTATTGACTCGACCAAGGTAATTTTTTTAAAGCGCGACCGAAGGAAAATTTTTTCTAGTGTAGTTAATGTAGAAAGAGGAATCGAACGAAAATACAAACAAAGAAAATTCGTTGAATATCCTACATATTTGGGGTTTAAGATGTGGCAACGCTCGTTTTCTGCATAATTGTAAACAATAGAAATAAAGGGATGTCCCAACTTATTCCAGTGTGAGAGCGCTTCAAAATTAGCGGTTCTTATAATATTTTCCATTATGGCCAGATGGAACAAAATAATAATTTTGGACATTTAAATTAGAACATCCAACATTTAATACGAATAAAAACTACGACATAGTGATTTTTTATTATATGGCTAAACTATTTTAATCTTTATATAGTATATTAGAACAATTGACTTTTGACCTTTCAATGCCCAATAAAGGGATTTAAGCTTGTTAGCTGTCAATCATTAAGAGTCTTTAATAATTTTCCATTGAAAATGCTTCAAATTAAAAGAAGTTTCATCAGATACCTTTAAAGTTCACAAATTTATTTAATTTTTATTTTTTAAATTTTTTATAAGTGGTGCAACAAATCCCTCCGTTTACATATTTTTTTGGCAAGATTTCAATCTGGCCATCGCTCGTTTCCAATTGCTAAACTTCAAAACCTCCTGAACTCGATCAACTGTYAACTCCTCTCTCACTGGAAGTAAGAGAGCAATTACTAAACGTCAAAACCAGAGATAAAGAGATGTTTAACTCCTATCTCACTGGAAGTGAGAGAGCAATTGGTAAACGTCAAAACCAAGTAAACTTTGACAGTTAATCGAGTTCAGGAGGTTTTGACGCTTAGCAATTGGAAAAGAGGGACGACCACATTAAAATCCCGCCAAATTATTATTCGAATGGAGACATTTTTAATTTTGTTGTCTCCATTTGTAACGGCCATTAGTTCGAAGAATAGCGAAAGCGAAACAGCACGTAGATTGGAAGATGTGAGTATATTTTAACTTTTATTAAGTAAATTTGCATTTATTTAATATTTTTTTATTTTATTTTACAGACAAAATGCCGAAAACAACCAGGAGTCGGAAATGTGCTGCTCGCTGCAGCGACGGAGGCAGAACATTCAGTTCTCCCAACATTGGAACGGATCTCGAAGTAAGAAACGTTAAACAACTCGGAGAGTAAAAAACGTTAAACAGTGCAAAAAGTGTCKGTGACTTGGATGAAATAAGTGTTTCGATTGTGCAATTAAATTATTATTTTTGGTTAATGAAATTGAAATTGCGGGTATTTTTAAGTGTGATGTGCTGAACATGTAGATCGCGACGGACTGCAAGCGACATCTGTCAAATATTAAAATACCCACGTTCTTATGGACACAGTTATGTAGTCGTGCAGCTGCCTTAATAACTGTGTCCTTAAGAACGTGTGTGTGTTAATATTTGACAAATGCCACTTGCAGTCTGTCGCGCTCTACGTGTTCAGAGCGTAACTGTCAATTTATTGCCATTGCCGTTATTTAATTAAATAAATTATTTTAAAGT